TTGACTGAGGGAATGGATCCGAGGCTTGACTGAGAGAATGAACCACAGACCTGATGGAGTGAATATCGTTCGCAGAGAAGGTCCAACTTGCACATGAGGCTCAACAAGGCCTGCTTTGTATCTAATGCATCGCCAACATGCCATTCCTGGATCTCATTCAGTGTACCGCTCCACAAGTGGTTGATCAAAGTTTCCTCCAGAATTCCCTCTTCATTTAACCTTTTCCAAGATCTTGTGAATGCTGGAGACTTAATTAGGAAAAAGATAGACTAAGAATAATTGAGACATTTTTATAAAAAGCACAGCAACAAAAATACAAAAACAAAATTAAAAAAAATTAAAAAATTACATTCCATGATTGTAAAAACTACTCGCTGAAAGCACATAATTGTTACCAACAACATTCAAAATTTGTGATTTTTTGAAGGAACTGATTTTGAGCATCAAATTTGGCCCCATACAGCTTTACATTGTGATCCAAAAGAAATTGGGACCAGTCAGATCCATAATTATTTCAAAATCTAGAATAGTTCTCTTTTCTCGGGTTGCTTGTACCAGTGCGTCCCACAACTATTTTATTTTTTTAACGGGCAAATTTTATCATTGATTTTCATGATCATAGTTATTCATACCGTGACTTTGTGGGGAAGAATTGACACGTCAATGATAACCTTTTTTTAACTCTGTCTAGATCGGGGTAATTGTTCTTTTCAAACAACTGTTTCATTTTTTCCCCAGACATCTAAATGCATATGAACTAAAAATCTAAAAACTAACATGTATCAGAAACTCTGGAATGAGCAACACTAATTAGCAGTGGCTTAAGATCTGACTTTGGAAAGACAATGTGATGTCACCACAAAATGAGCCAAACATAGGATTTTTTTTGGAGATATTGGCATTTCCAATACTCAGGGTAAAAGTAGGGTGTAAATGTGGCATTTTTCCAGTGGCTTTACAGCTTTGTTTCCAACATTGTGTCAACATTTCTGTCCAGGCACGAAAAATGCTACCATCAAAAATTAGTATGAAAATGAGGTTTTTAAATATATTATCCCGTTAAAAATTGGGAATTAAATAGAAGGGTGTTACCTTTTCCAAATATTATAAAGCCCCAAAATCAACCTCCCCCTTCAATTTTTTTATTATACACCATAACAGTGGAGTGCAACTTTACTCTCATTTTGACTTGGTGGGTAAACAATAAGCAGAACGTACCACATGGAACACACCATTTCTCACTTCAACTTGTTTTGTACTCATCCAACTTAAAGGACGTGCTAAGAACGCAATGAATTCACCTGATCCTTTAGCTTAGGGACAGCTAGAAACATTCTGAACAACTTGATCAGCCAACATCGATCAGCAAGAATACCACCCATGTGCATCAGGTTTGGATGGGCCTCTGTCTGTCCATCGAAGAAGAGAATCTGACCAATATCATGGTAGAATTTCAGCATTGTCAATAGCTCAGCATTGGAAAAGTCTCCAATAGATTTCTGAAGAATTTGACGGACCTGAAAAAAAATTTGGTAAATTTTAATGTTTCTGTTTTACAAAGACACCTGTAGAAACTAGTGGTCTGCATTTACATGTATGTGGTATGAAAACCCAGATCTGTACTGAAGTAAAACATGGGAGTCGGTAAAAGGAACCCAACCTGAAAATCTACACAGAAAAAAAGGGAGAGAAAAAAAAAGGTTTCAGCCAAACATATTCAAAATATAAATATATCTTACCCAAAATGATCCTTAACAACCTCTGGACATCAAAAACTGTATCACTTTATATCTACGTTGTAAAATGAATGACTGCATTTAAATTATCATGCAAACTTAATCACTTTTCCCCAACATTATTTTATATGCAAGTGTTTCTTCAAGCGAACATGCAGCAGTCAGCATCCTTTGTTGTGTTTAAATGTACATACCAGTAACCATGACATTCACTCAGGCATAAAATGTAGGCTGATTTTGATATAAAACCTTTCCCCAAAAAACATTTCCAAAGCTTTCATTTGTTGGTTACTAGTATCCAGTCCAATAATATGGAGCCAGGTGGTTAAGTACCCAGTTCCAATGCAATCTTGTTCATGAAATTCTCTATTATTCTGCCTAATTTTCTTAATTAAGATAACGTGTTAGGGAATACAAAGACCTCACCAAGCCCATGCCTAAACTATGACTTGAATTTTTTCAAAAATTAAATATATGCATAAAAAAGTTACTCCACAAATTAATAATTTATTATCTGTAGAGGCATGCTGTTCAACCATAATGTGCCCTCTAATCCTATAATGCACAGAAGAGCTGCCACCATGATCGTCCTTCTTTTCAGGTATTAGTACCATCCAAGCCAATAGTGGGGAAGGATGGGAGGGAGGTGACTGTTTGGGGTAGGTATTCAATAGCAGACCTGACCCACATTTCTGTGGGGAAGGTGTCTTTTGCTTTCATCCTACCCCAAGCAGTCACTAAACGTGCAGAGCAGCACTGTCCCCTAGGTGGGAGATGCGGTGAAAACACACTACATAAAAAGTGTGTGTTAGAGGAGCATATAAACTTTAAGGGCCATAGTGCAGACTCACCAGGTAGGAGCTGTTACATGTAGGTAGTTCCAGTGGTGGACCGCCCCGGCCCAATGAGGAACTCTTCAGCATTGATGCGGCTGATGTCAGGACAGCCCTGCCATGTGAGGGGTCCCTTTGCAAGACATCGGTGAGGTAGCATGTGGTGAACTAGATGAAATCTTCCAGCATGCTACACTGCATATCTCCTCCATCGACACGCCCCAGAAGTAGGCCCATGAGGTCAATACTACCCGATTTCATGAGCCCTAATGAGGCATTGAGTTTGATTGTCCAAAGAGTTCGGCCAGTCTGGGTTAACAAATTTGATGGCCGAAACTGCCCACTGGCTATAGTGTTTCTGGTTGCAGCTAGGTAAGGTTTTATTGTAGTTATGAAGAGCTGCGATGTCATTAATCTGAGTTTCTGGTTCTGGCTAGGTACCATTTAAGAGTTCATACTGAGCACCATGGCTTGTTGTCTGGGGTCTCAGTGTGTTTAGTAATGTCAGGCACAATGTGAGGCTGTGAGGAATGCCAGCACTGGGATGAGACGAACACTGTGGGGTTCCCATCGGATAGGCCATCAGCGATGGACAAAGCTTTCAGTTTGCTGCCTCGGCATAAGGTAGTAACTGCCAGTATAAATGCCAGTTTCACCATCAAGTTGATCGATGCTTCACAGAGGGGCTCAAAGACAGGACCAGCAAGTAGTTGGACAACTGACAGGTCCCAGGAAGGAATTAGTCCCTTGGTAGGAGAACACTCAAGAAACATTCCTCGGAGAAGATGTTTAAGGGCTATTTGGAAGGAAACACTGAATGAACATGCCAGGAAGAGGGTACCTAGGGTCAGTGCTGTCTGAGTCGATGGGGGAAGCACATTGGGTAGTTGTGAAACCAAACGGTAGCTACATTTGATTGTTGACTGCAGTTCCATGTTGCGTAGAAGAAGAAAGAGTTCAGTTGGAGTTCTACACTGTTTGTCACGCCATGAAACAGAGAGCTGTGAACTCCTGGTATAGATGTATACTAGGAATCCAGAGAAATGAGGCATCAGCAGCAGGCTTCTGAACAACTACAGGTACATATTACTGTACCAGAGGGCCTTGAAGTATTATGGGTAAAGGTGCAACCATATCGCCTTCCAAGATCACTGTCTCATCTGGTTATAGCTGTAGTGTATTATCCCCCAGACAGCCCTGCTGCAGATTTACTTCTTGACCATCTACATGACACACTTGACAATACTCGAAGCAACCACCTACATGCAGGAATCATAGTCATGGGAGACTTGATTTAAAGCCATTGCTCGCTGATACCAAGTTCAAGCAGATTGTTCATAAACCAACAAGGGAAAACAGAACCCAGGACAAAATCATCACAAACCTATCAACCTACTACAAACAGCCGCAAATTTGTTCTCCACTTGGAAGAAGTGACCACAAGGCAATTTTGTGGTTGCCTACTGCACAAAGCAAGAAAGAAAATGCTACCAGAATACAAATCACAAGACCACTTCGTGATTCAGGCATTTGTCAATTCGAGACGTGGATTTGCAATTATGACTGGTCACCTGTTCTGAAAGCCACTGAACCCAACCAACAATATGAGGCTTTCTAAGATGTATTGAATTGGGCCTTGGACTACTACCTTCCAATTTACTCGATCAAATTACACTCGCAGGACAAACCATGGATGACTCCTTCAATTAAATCAATGATCAGGAAGTGACAAAATGCCTTTCATCATAAGCAACACAGAACGTGGAAACAAATGAGAAACAAAGTCATTCAAGCCATACATCTTGCAAAAAGGAACACTATGTCACCAGAATACAGACACATAAGGCCTCCAATCCAGCTGGGTGGTACAGAGGAATAAAAGCTATCATCCATGGCCGTCAAACAGAAACAATTATTAACGTGCCAGGTCAAGAGCTAGCAAGCCCAGACGAAGTAGCTAACCACATCAACAAGCTCCTTGTGGCTGTCACTGATGATCTTCAACCACTTGATGCTGCTCAACTACCAGCCTACCTGCCATCGCAAGCATCCCCACCAAACGTCCAACCTTAGGAGGTGTATCGTCAACTGAAACGAGTCAAAGTCGGCAAATCAGGAGGACCGGATAATGTGCCCACTCGCATCATCAGAGAGTTCGCATATGAACTTGGCACCCTGTTGATCCACATATTCAACACATCCCTTAACAGTGGAGTGGCTCCTGACCTGTGGAAAAGGGCTATCATCATTCTAGTTCCCAATCATCTCCGGCAGTGGTGGATAAAATAAGGGCTATCGCTCTCACCAACCATTTTGCCAAAATCCTTGAAGGGTTTGTCGCCAGATGGACCTTAGAGGACTTAACACCTAACTTAGATCAACAACAGTTTGGGAATCGTAAGGGGTTTAGCACCACTCACTATCTTGTTGATTTGCTCCACATACTGTTCCAACATGCAGAGAGAACTAAGACATTGTCTACACTTGTCCTGACTGAATTCAGCAAGGCTTTTGATCACATCAATCACAACATCATCATAACTAAACTACTTGCTTTGGGGGTTGAACCTGCACTGGTCTGCTGGATTCGTGATTTTCTTAGCAACCATGCAGTGCGTGCATTACAGAGTCAAATCAGATTGGACCGATGTACATGCTGGTGTTCCGCAAGGAACTCGCCTCGGACCAATCATATTCCTAGCAGTGGTCAACGATGCTTGCCAAAACCACCATCATTCCATACAGTACTGGAAGTATGTAGATGATCTGAGTATAGTGGAGACCCGATCATCAAATGAACGTCCAAAAATGCAAGAGGCCCTTGAGTCCCTTGTCCAGTGGTCTCAAGTCAACAACATGAAGCTCAATCCTGCCAAATGTACATCAATGGAGATCAACTTTATGAGGGATCCCGGGGTTCCACCAGTTTTTAGCATATATAATCAACAGCTCTAGCAATCACAAACAGTCAAACTCTTGGGTGTACACATACATATACAGAAGGATCTCAAGTGGGATGCTAATTTTATTCAATATTGCAATGAGCAAATGCACAGTTACACGTGATCCGTGTTCTGAAAGGCCACAGGTTATTGGTACAGGATCTTCTTACAGTTTATAAGGGATACCTGCGCCCCCTTCTAGAGTTTGCTTTACCACTCTGGAATGGTGGAATAACTAAACATCATGCAAATCTTCTTGAACGTGTACAGAAACATTCACTCAAACTTACATTAAGATCCGATCACAATCATTATCAACATGCCCTAGGTATCCCTCGTATAACTACTTTGAGTGATAGATGAACAGCGTCATGCCTCAAATTTGCCACAGATGTAAAAGCAAACTCAAAGTTGAATTATATTATCCCCACTCGACCAAGCAATGATAAAGTTCTTCGAAATTCCAGAGTTCCCCAGTTGCAATGTAGAACAAATAGATTTAAGAGCAGTGCAGTACCCTACCTTATTGACTTAATTAACTGTAATTGATTCCACTTAATAGGTTGATGACTGGTCTCTGATATGTTCTTCAACTATCTTTTTAAATTGTTCTTTGTTTTTAAGTTGTGATGACTGGTTTGTTCAAGGTCCATGGATTTTGTAACCTTTAAACAATCTTCACCAAGTATTCTTTTTATTGTTATTAGACAAATTTTGGGAGTTGTCAATCTCTGATCTGTTCTCAAATCTTTTAATTAATTCGTGGTTCTAACAGTTTCCTCAGGTTGTGGCCATTATTTATTTTGAAGTGGTAAAATGGACTTGAATTAGTACTGATGTTATTGACATCCCTGCTGTTTTGTCCTTGTCATTGTCTACGCGTATTGGTGGGGGTCCTGTCTGTGGTCATTGTTGGTTTTTGTCTGTTATGAACCATTTATTTTTTAACTTAATTTAACTTCATAAAAGCTATGTTTTCTCGATAGAGCAAAGAGGATGTTAGTATCTTAACGGAAGATGATAATTAGAGGAGGCCTGAGGTTTGCATATCTGAGAGTACTGATATAGCATACACAGCCTTGTTGGGGATTTATAAATAGGCTTTTGAGGAATGATGTCCATTATTTGTAATTTTATATGTTATGTGTATTTTTAACTGGATGTATTTTAAGTAATGCTTAATGGAATTTTTTGCTCTAACTTGACGCAATTCAATCTCGATTGCCACATCTCATCATTTTAAGAGAATAAACTATCCATCTGTCTGTGTCTGTCTGTCGGGCTGTCTGTCTGTCTGTGTTTGGAAGGCCTGAACAAAATGAATAAAAGATGTGTATCCTGGCCGATTCTGGCAGAATTGCCAGGATTAGGTAACAGAGAGGGGTGTGTAAACAAGCAACCCTACTTCGTTGAAAGAGTTTATCTGTGACCAAGACCTGTAGGTGAGGGAGTCTGGTGCAGAACAACAGTAACTAGATGTTCTCTGTTGAGGCAGGGAGGTCAGTATGCAGACTGTCGAGTATCTTGAAAGACTGACCCAGTCACGTTGCAATACAGAGTCTGCTCTGCTAGGTGAATCGTTCTCTGAGAGCAGTGTTCAGTGTTGGCTTTGAGATGTGATTTGGGATGCCAGCACTGCATCCACTGGGGCCGCACCAGACAAGGCAGGGGACGACCTGGTAGCATGTAGTGTCTACCAACACCTGGATGCCCCTGATGAAGAGTGACTGAGGACGGCAGATCCAGGCATGGGGCACTCAGTAGGACTTGCACATGGGCGGTGTAGGGTCGTCCAACAGTAAGCCATCTGAGTCATGCCGCATGAATGGGAAGGGCTGTGACTTATGGCAGTTCAGCCACCCGGGACGTGGGGGGCTATGCCCGCGTGGCCAGGAGTGGTTTCTGCAGGGGCCGCCCCGGATGGCTGTCAGCCCACGAGGGAGTAGCATCCATGTCATGACCGGATGCACCGGTTAAAACGACATCTGAAGACTGTGGCACATGGCATGAGGCAGTCCCAGCACAGGGCCTTGTCAGCCATACTGGTGGGTCAGTGTGGTCTATGGTAGGCGTTGGTGGAGGAGAGACAGCTGCTGGATGTCATTGCCTGGTAATAATGCTTGGGAAGCTAGGTGCATGGTATGTAGGCACCACCTAGACCTAGTGTGCAGGGGAAATTTCAACCCCAAGTGCAGTGCCACTCTGCACTATCGTTGACTGCGATGCCCAGGTGGTAGAGTTAGGGAACTTCGCATTCAGATATCGCATTTACTACAGCTCAGACCCTTGAAGTGTGCCATGGCCTAACCCTGAACTAGACAGAGGATGTTACTGCCAGCAGGAATTAGTGCAGAATCAAAAGTATAGCAGAGTATAGTGGGAATGCCACTCAATCTTCCGCAGACCGACTCCTGTTGGTCTATAGGGTAAGAGCGGGGTACTACGGAATCAAGTTGCTCGCACCACCTCACGGAACCCATTAACCCTATGTATATCTCTCGGCGTTAAAGCAATGTAAAGTCAATGTGAGAATCTATGAAATGCATACACATAGAGAGGGAAGAAAGTACGACAAAAACAAGAAAACACATATCAATATGTTGAATTTTCCTTTTTTTACATTACATTACGGTTGATCAAAATAACACAGGAATATGGTGGCAAAACAGAAAATGAAAAACTTGAAGATGCCAAAATTGATACATCACTTAAGAATCAATGCTAAGGAAAAGAAGGGCGAACATGGCGGCCACTCCGCTACACATCATAGGACTAGAGGGCACACTATGGTTGATCAAGAATTTAGTGAATAGAATCAGACGCAAAGGAATTTGCATATTTAGTGGCTGTTTGAGATAGGATGAAAGCAGAAGACCCCATTTTCTTCAGTTCAAGAAGGGCTCCCCTGGGATTTTAATCCAATCGGTTCTATTTTCCTCTACTGTTGAATATCTTTATTTGAAAGCAGAAACATCTTTGTTTAAGCTGGATTTATGTAAATGTTTCCTTGACTTATCTCTTCTTTTTTTGCAACAGATAACCTTAATCCCAAAATGTCTCTAAATTTCTTTTTCAGAGAAGGGGAAATGTCCTGTGGACATGTTTAAGTCCAAAAAACGTCTTCCCTTCCTAAACTGTGTAGACATCTTTTGTTCGCAAGTCCACGCTAGGTATTTAAGGTTAAGAAGAACTCACACATGGGGGAACAGATGAAGGTCTCTCACTTTTCATGCAACCTAATGTACACTGAATCACCCAAATGAGTGTGTCACTAACACAAAAGAAAGTTATTACTCAAAAGGTTCTTTGGTTTGAATTAAAGCCCTAGAATGGCTACGGAATATAGCAGAGGAAGTGGTAATGAACAAGTTATTGTTCAACCTCCATGTATAAAATAGGGTACACTGTCAGCAAAGATTGAATGTACAGACAAATGGACTCACCATAGCAACAGACATAACAGGAGGGTTACGTAATCTGGCCTCTTCGAACTGCAGCCATTTCAGAGGGATCTCCTCCCTCATATCCTCTGAAAAGCACAAATCCTCTATCAGTGTCCTTAAACCTACAATCTAAGGATTGAACATGCAGAAGAAAAAGCATCAGTATACAGGAATAGATGAAATTACTGGTTCAAATGGCAATGTCTCAGGAGTTTGGGCTGAGTTCCAAGGTTTTAAGGTCTTAAACTTCAAGACTTGGTCTCAGATATAACATAATACTTGTGACAAAATTTTATACAGTATGCGGGTGAGAAAACAACTCCACTCCAGGACACACTTTAAGGTATCATACATCTTCATTGGGATATTGGCTTTTTTTTCCAACCAAACTGTTTGTTGTATACCCCCAAACTTTACTTATTCTAAACAACTGAGCAAAACTACTCTCATTTTGCTATTAAATGTATACAAAGTGTCAAAACCTAGGGCCAAATCTCAATAATTACTCACAAGGATTGCAATGACATAAATGTCAAAAACAATTTTTAAAAACCTGACTTGAAGGGACAGCACATGAAGAGGAATAAAATGTCACTAGTGCCTTTATACACGGGTCAATTTCTGACAACCACATGAAACCAGCAGTTTTCCATAACTGTGCAAACAATTTCAGACTCTACGAGGCAGCTGCCATCATGGTCATGTTTACATGTGCTTTAGATTATAAGATGATTACATCTGATTAAGGTTAGATTTAGATTAAATACCTGTGGGCATTTGGGCCAAGCATCAACAAGAAGTTAAAGCAAAAACGAACGGCAAATACCCCTAGATGTGCCTTAGTAGACAATAAGTAAAGCCAGTAGGCCTGTCAAGCTTAAGATTTTGCACTGATTGTATGGCGCTCGAAAAATGATCGCAAGCATGGCAACAGCATATACTCAGTGACCTTCCTTCTGTTCCAAAAGGTGGATCAAAGCAGGCAGTGTTGCATTTGAGTCCATCACAAGTCCCTGCAAGTAACTGTAAGTCCATCACAAGTCCATTACAAGACATTCAGTCTTAAGCCAATTCACAAGCCATTCAAATGAGCTGTGACAAAGCATTCTTTTGTCATTGTTCACCCTGTTACTTATGACTAGCCTTTTGAAGGGACTTGTGACTGGACTTGTGACTGGACTTGTGACTGGACTCGAATACAACACTGAAAGCAGGATCAGGATCTGGTGTAAATGCAGCGCCATTTATTTGTGGTTAGCACCCCCAGGATTTATTAACCTCATGGATCCTGGTCCCCCACAGCAGGATCCAGAGTAAACGCAGTCCTTGTCACCAAATTAACATACTGTAGGTGAAACTACCCCTATACAAAAAAATCCAGGAAAAGGAAAATACCACTATTACATATGTTAGAAATGAAACAATCTAGGTCAGCTACATTTAATAGTGGGGTAAAAAGCCATTTTTCCAAGCCATATCATTTATGCATTTATATTTAGAATTTTATAGGATTTTTTTAATGATGCACATTAGCTGATTGTTATTATTAGCACATGAAGCTTATTGTTGTATCAGTGCAGTTTATATATATGCCATCTCGCATATCCTGTTACAAACCTTTCATCACATTTCAAATCTAGCATCTTGTTTCTCACACCTTGTGTTGAACAGAATACACTTCCAAATAACCAACCTGATGTTGCACAACAAACGCTATAAATATGTATAGGCACATACACAAAAGGAAACACTCTGTGACTATATCACAGCAATGGCAGAAGTTCACATGCCAGCAATGCAAACACATTTGGCAGCATGTTGGTTTGGAAGAAAAGTGCAAGATACAGGATGTGAAATGGCAGATATGAAACACAATATACAGTATATAAGTGTCATCACTGAAAAAATTGGCTATGGAAAAATATGTATAACTAGCACTACAAGAAGCACATCATTCTTCATGGGCTAACTTAACTAAACTAAATTAAACTTGAAATATGGCCTAGAGAAATTAGGACAGGCAACATGATGCATCAATTTTAATCAAGCTAGTTTTAACATTCTGCTTATAAATTTTTATCAATTTTATAATTTCTCTTAATATCTTTCAATTTTATTGGAATGCCCATGTTACGCTTTAAGGTTTTCCCAGGGTAATAAGATAGATGACTTCAGTCAAGTCCATCACTAGTCAGTCAGGAGTTCAATCTCAAGTCTGTTCATCAGTAGTGCATGGGTGTGCATACCAAAGTCACTTATGAACTGGATAGTGATTGAAGAAGCCCACAGTCTACATCAAAGGTCTTACCTCAGCATCACTGCAGTCTTCAAGGCTGTTCTCTACTGCAAAATGCCTACTCATGACATGCTGCCTATATGGAGCATCTCTAAGCAAATCCCTGATTTTTGAAAACTTGGCAGCAACCTGTGGGAAAAATATACACATGTACACCTAAACAAATCAGGTAAAACAGAACATTTCATAGGAATAGTCAGGCATGTCTAGTTCACAACAGACTTAGGATTAATATATGCTAGTATCAGGTAGTTGTGGCTGCAACTGGCATCCTTTCATGGTATAAAGACAGAATACCATGACTTTTAGGATTTGAAGTAATACAGTAAGGCATAAGCTGAACAAACAATCCACACATTTCCTTCCTCAACTTAGTTTTGCTTATTGTTTAGGGTCATACACTGAAACACCATTTAGCTTTTGTGATAGAAACGAGATGTATGATGAATTATTTTGTAAGTCAATTATCTTATGTAATCAAATACCCAGTAGCCATTTTCAAGGAGTGGAATCCGTTTATTTCCTCTCTTCATGTAAATAAATCAATGCATTCTTGCATTCCAGTTGATATTTGAATAGTGTAGAATTCAGTAGGGTTTAATGGTGTCATTAACTATTAGTTTGTATGATGTCAAGGATCAATACTGGCTTCTAATGATGATATTGCATAAAATAGCTCAATATTACTTTATAAAAACCCTTTTACTTTTGGCTTCATCCTGCGTGTCATTACTAACGTCTATTGGAAATATATATAAGAGGTATATCTTCAGGAAAACCCCAACAAGAAATATTTGCACTCTATGTTGGCAACAGGCGGTGCAGCATCTCCATGTGAGACTACAGCATGCACACATATCGAACACTGGCTACGGATCTCCACCACTGCCTCTTTTGATCAAAATTGGAAGCCGTAGTTGCAGGAGACAGGACCTGATTATGGCTGCACCTATCATACACCGCTCCATACAATCCCATGTATTAGCTTAATTGATACACAGGCAGTGCTGGGTGAATGTACATGTACGTGAATCCTGACTCTTTTTAATTACGGGTTTTGTCCCTCATGACATATATTCATCAACACTCTATACTCGAACCCACCTACCTCCTGCTTACTAGTGCATACGTCTGAACCACACAACCAACGAGCCTGGCGGGGTCGGCTGGCCAGCCCAAGTCAGATGTAGCAGGGGGCACCATAAAACTATTTGCAAGATGTACTTTGCATCGGGGAGGTGTTAATTTTAATTACAGGTTTTGCCCTGACCCGACATACATTCATAAATACTGCATCCTCAATGCTTGTCCGAGAGCAGTGTTTATGAATATACATTGTACAGTACATCTGGACTCTTTTTTAATGGTCTACCTGTTCCGTTGTTTCTCTGCCAAGGCTACCTCTATGAGTTCCAACAACGATAATTGCAGGTGATGTTCTCTGAGAGAACTGGTTGGCAGTACTGGTGTACATGTGTACTGTCTGCATCCAAAGATTCATGCATTCCAAGTTAGTCAGTTCATGTTGTTCAGTGGCCTTCAACAAAATGACAGAAAAACATATCTCAACTCAGTACAGAACTACTAATATGAGGCAATGGGGTAACATTAATGTACCCTTTTCTACCCCAAAAGTCTTACCGAACGGGTTTCAGTTCTATCAGACTCAAGTTGTTTAGTGGGAATCAAAATGGATGTGGATGTAAATGTGCGGATCATTCCACACACAGGGCCTTTACTTTAAAACTTTTTTTGACCAATTAATCCTTCCCTTTCAATTATGATTTTGATTAATCAATCATAAACTTTTAAAGAAGGTTTAATCAACTAAAGAGCAAATATGTCTAAGAACAAAAAGTGCAAACAAAAGAAGCCAAAGCATAACAAATATATGTTGTTTTTGAATTTGAAGAAAGAAGAGCAACAGTCAATCCTCACTGAACACAATAAAAACCAGACTACATGTTGATATTACGAGTAGCTTTAATACCTGCCCATTAGATCCAGTAACTTCAAAAACTGCTGCTTTGTCCAAATCATGCGTGAGGTTGAAAACAAAAAGGAAAATTGCACGGTGCGAATAAACTACCTGAAAGAGAGAGAAAAAAATTACATTAGTCTGACAATTCTGGAAGAGGAAAACAGGGGCAAGTGGCCGCTTTGTTATGTCCATGATTCTGAGTATTAATGTTTCCTCTCATAAATATCTGGGACAGTTTGTCTACTCCTATTGGTCGAAATATAACACATTACCATGTATTAACATTTGATAATGCCCACTGGGAAGTGATAATGCCCGGTGCATAAATTATGCTCTAGCACATGGATAGGAGATAGTTTAATGGGGTCTGATTGGTCAGGAGTCTGTTGCATGCAACGCACCATGCGCACAACAAGTTCATCGAAGGGATTCTATTGAACAACTTTCAAAAGGAATATAACATAAAATGGATGGGGGTGTTTGGCAAAATTAAAGTAAAGATTTAGAACAAACCAAAAAATCGTTGGAAATCCATCAAATGTTGACTTCTTTTGACTCTCTGAATAAAAGGTGTTTATGAATGGGAATAATTGTGTGAATGGGAATAATTGTGTGCTTGGCCAGTCATAAACTAACATTTAAGACCTTGCTCAGAAGAATGAATGCTGATAATGCCTAAGCTGCAATTTGTCTCGTCCATTCTCATAAGCCTGTCTTAAACACATGTTTAAGACCAACCAAGCACATATTTATTTCCTTAGTTAAAGTTCTCTGAAATACAAAGCCTGAGATATTGTCATCAATAAGAACTCTACATCTTCATTTCTGATCTTCAGGTGTAATAGCATTCTTACTTTTCCATGAGTCAAAAATAATTTCCTATGTTTGACGAAAGTTAAGTTTTCAAGATGTATTTTTTTTTTAACGTTTTAAATGATTTTCATCACACTAGCTTACAAACAGACTAATTTCAGCCCAATATGCAGTCTCATCATTACTGGAAATCAAACCCATCAACAACGTGTCTTCAGCATATTTTTTAGAGTACAATTATCACTGCATCCTAGTAACTACTACAAAACATTGAAAGCAATGGCAAAAAAATGCAACACAGAGGAGCTCTGTATTACACGGGATCCTGTTTGAACACTTTCTGTGATCCTGGTATTAAAAATCACAAACCCACAATAACAAAGAAGGATCGTTACCGATTGTAATTTATTGATCAGAATATGAGGTTACATTTTGTTGAATGCAGAGGGACAATCTATTAAACAGTTTTCCGACATACAGTTACGCCCAAATTTATTCATGCCCATAACAAAGTCAGGATACATGAATCATTTTGTTTTGAGGAACAAGTTTATTCTGGATTAAATGACAAAAGAAGGTGACAAAAGGCTGTAGGAAGTACTGCAAGAGAAATGTCAAGGTATTCAGTATGTTTGGTAGCTTTGACAGATTTACAAAACAGTGTCTAGTCATTTACTCACACCCTTACCTAGAAATCAATGGTGAAGCCTTTGTTTGTGATCACAGCCTCCAAATGATTTCTATACTTGCTAACAAGTTTTGCATGTCTCCATGGGGATTTTGGCCAACTCCTCTTTTGCATAGGTATCAGGGTTCTTGAGGATGGAAGGCTCGCTTGACCATGTTGACATCATTCAGGTCTTGGACACCTTTCATGGATACTTGATTGGGTGCAGATTTGGATTCTGGATTGGCCACTCCAAAACATTAACACTGTTATCATAATCAGCATGGCAGTGTATTTTGGATCGTTGTCTTGGAATGTCCAGTGCTGTTCAAGGCTATGTTTTTCCACAGACTGGTGATGTTTTCCTCCTTTTTCAGTATGCCATCTACATGTACTTTGACAAAGTTCCCAACACATTTTTTTCCTACCACCATGCTTGACTGTCAGGACTGTGTTAGCTTCAGGTTGCATGCTTTGCCTTTAGGCTTGTGCCAAATGAAAGCCACATCACTATTGGCCAAAATGTTCAATTTTTGTCTCATCCAACCACAGAATAAACAACCAAATACTTAAACCTTTGACAAAGAAATTTCTGCAAAGAATGGATGAGTTTTTGTACACTTTGGTTGGAGGAGTGGAGTCTTCCTTCACTGGCATCTATGGAGACCTGCTTGTGCAAAGCCCACTGGAGAGTCTTTCTTGATACATATATTTAGGTCCCAGATTCACTCATATTCTTCAGGATAGCATTGGTGGTGATTTATGGATTGTTGTTGGCCTCTCAAAACACTTTCCTTGCCAAAGGAGGCAATATCTTTGGCTTCTGGCCACATCCCTTGAGGTTTCTACCGTGTGAAACTGCTTGTACTTTTTGATGATACTCACTAACAGTACTATTACCAACAGTATTGTCACCAACAGCCTCAATTCTGAGGCCCGAAAGGTATGAATAATTATGGACAGGCATGAAGAATCAAACTCTTAATATTTCTATTTTACTGCTAATAATTTGAAAAAGAAATAAATGTAGGTTTGTATATGCCAAGTAAAGTCACTAAGTAAAACCAAAGTTCCATCAGTCCAATTATGGTTTTTTAAGAAAATAGATGGGTATTAACCACCTGCTGTCAGGGAGCCTGGTTTCCGGAACGTTTTCTTTAACGCAAAGCAAAGGGAACTGGGCCATGTAACAAAAGACCGTTCTCAGAACAAAAGACCAGGCTACAGGGAATTGCCAACATCTTTTCAGTTGTCAAAAGTGGAGGTAATCCGTCATTGTTTTGAAACAGTATACTACTTTTTGTGGCATTCAGCACAAGCGGATTACTACCGGGGACAAAAGGGCTCCAGTGCACCAGCGATGAGTGATACAATATCACTGCAAGCTAATCTTGCAGTATTTGAAAAGACGCCAGCAGCTCACTGGGTCAGTTTCAGGAACTTAAGAAAATTATGCAACACTGCACAATCTGGGCTCTCTTTACGAAGTGGCAGGCCTGGCTGAAATACTCGGGCGTCATTAGATGTTATCTGTCAGATCAGATTAGCCACCAGACAGTCATTTGTGTGGGTGTATGTGTCCAGTAAATTAAGATATGAATATTCAAAGAATTTGAAAACAAAAAAGATGAAAAATAACCCGGCCCAGCAGAATAAACATGGATAAATGGGCCCAGTGCGAAGTGGTTAATAATTTGGGGCATACGTGAATGGGTTTATCCAAGTGTTTCTAATTCTTGTGCAATATAAAAAGTAAGTGCCACCGGCTAATTGTCATCTAAATAACCTGGTTTGGGAACTTATGTCGATGGAATTATTAAAGAATTGAAGCTTTCAAAGTTTTTTGAACAGTGCGACATTTTAGTGACCACATAAACAGATAATGAAAACCAAGCCAAACTACTGAAAACCATGTCTCAAAGTTTCCTTTATCACCATCTGTGGTCCTACAGTTTTATTAGTTGTAATCATCTTAAATACTTTTCAACAGTTAAACTATCAGGCTCAAATTAATTTGAGTTGGGTTTTTTATTTTAAATTTCCTGCAGAGCACACAGTTGCTTTAAGTCATGAACCAAATTAAATTATTTGCATAGTTCTCTCAGTGGTTTCCTTTGGGAGCAATTATGGTTTGTTTCTTGCCACAACCAGTGACTGTTCAAATTTTTTGCCATGCTCATTTGAATCACCGCACTCAAAGTTATCTTTTATTCCATCTCCAAACTGTTGCCTTCATCACCATACATGTGTAAGACAATTTATTGGTTTAAGGAGTTTCTAGTTTTCCCCCAAACTCACTATTTGCAAGAGCTTGCTGCTTATTTCTTTAGCAGACCTTTTGCATGACAATACCCTTCCACCAAGTATTTTTCCCTCTTTGAGCTATATTTAGTCTCAATTGATGTCAACCTGTCCCTATGACCCTTACCTGGTGTGTAAGGTCAACTAGGTCCTGTCCTGTGTGATCCCAGACATTCAGAAGGGCGTCTCCATCAACAGGTAACTCATGACCAGAGGCTTCAGCCATACCTTTCCCTTCACTTGTAACTAATTTAAATAAAAAATAAAGCAAGTAATGACTTGATGTTTGACAAACAAGCTCTCAACCGAACATTTGACAAAACCATTTAACAATAAAAGTCCAGTTTTGCATGGGGAGAGGGGATGAGCCAGATTTGAAAAAGGAGGGGCCAATTTTATGAAATGCTTAAAAACATGTCATAGGAAGGGTAACCTGGTAACTTGTTTTATCTTGCAACTCATCCTAAGATCGATTTCACTAAACTAAAGATGCATTCAATATGTCCTAACTTTCTTATCAACTCGTCTTAAATTAAGATGGGTCCAAGGGCCATCTTATCTCATTAATGTGTGCAGTAATCATCTTGAAATAAAAGATGAGTGTCTTGCACGAGTTATAAAATGAACAATTTCAAGGAATAAAACAGATGCAGAAACAGACTTGAAGAGATGTTCTGTGAAAAAAAAATTATTTTCAAACTTTAATGGTATGCAGCACTAAGAACTCTCTTCTTAAAACAGAATGATGAAAATCATTGAAAGCATTAATGATCAATGAAACATCTGTTTCTTATACAGTCACACATGAGTCGTCGGAGTAACTTGGCTGTCCCTATTCTTTTCAATGACTGTTTTGTCAAGCAGCAAAGAGAAGCATGAAACAGCCATCAAATTTCTGGTTTTAATGCATATCAGGATGATGAAATTGATTACAGTTCAGAGTTCCAACACCTTAAAATCTCTTTATGGATTTCAACTGTAAGTGCCCTTCACTGGTGATAACGGGGAGAGGTTAGAATGAACTTGACCACCACTGCAACCATGCATCCAGGGACATGACAAGGTTCTTTTGAGTGTGTGTACGTACTTGATGGCTATTCCATTCAAATTGTGCATGTTGTGGTGTCTCCATTCACCATTATTTCTAGGTAATAGCCACCATTCCAATGAGACACATTCCCAATATATTCTTCCCACTCATGGCACTCTTCAAAATTTTAATAAATTGCCCCAGAATCACCATCACAAGCCAATATCTGGCTCTGAGGCAACTGTACTATCATGTTCGCAACACAATGGTCTGGGCTAGGAACACTGCCACTTCAGTTCCATGGCACTTTTGCCGCAATCGCGCCACATTTCATAGGTGATTGCAAGCAATCACAGGCACTGCCACTACAGTATAGACGATGCAGATGTACTACATTTACGATGACAAAAAGATCTTGCTATGATTGTAATATGATCAAAGTGATTGAGCTGTGCTCATGCTGGGATTCTGGGGCGATCTAAAACTGTTTGTATCTAAATCGGCAGAAATTCACGTTTTTGTCAGTCCTTCCCCAGCCTCCGCCAAAGATGGGTGTATAGCATGAGGTGGCCCTTGTTCAGATTGCCATTCTCCAACACATGAGGTATTGGAATGGGAGAAAAATAATAAGTACTTCAGAAGCATTGTTGAGGTACTTCTGCTCCCATGCCTATGATCAATCTGTGCTGCCACCTCGATAGAGCTATGATAATGGACTTTTAGCTATGTTTTTGTGGCACTTTTTTGGCGATTCTAATCCACTATACTACCCCCATGCAAATATTAAGCATGGTCAAAACAAGCACCGCAGTGTGAATGTGGTGGCAATAAAGCAAGCTCCAGAAGAGCATTTTTTCAAGGCATAGCTGGAGTGTGTCTCAGTGGAACGGGGGTGTAAAGCACTGTCTTCTGTTAGTGTGTGGAGCCCATGCATACAGATCAATGTTTTAGAAAATGTGCTTGGGCATGCATGTAAAACCATAAAGGCATTGAATATCCTGACCCAGCAAAACAAGGGAAGCATAAATGCAGTACTTGTAAACATGAAATAGGCATGTACCGGTATGTGTAATTCAATGCCTCCTGTAGATATCCTTTAAGCAATTTGACTATGGATACATGGTACATGAACAAAACTACAAACAGGAGACCTACATAATGCTGCATGACATTCACAAGAGAACTAATGTGTGTGTGATGTACATGGATAAAAAAATATCCAACACAACTAACTTGTCTTGCAAAGTGAAGCCTGATGGACGTTTCCTTGGTTGTGTTCAGCTTGTTAGATTGCTCAAAATTTAGTATGTTTTTAGCATATTACTATTTGCACATACATGGAAGCTAGTATCATTACAAAATTGGCTTCGTTAAACCACAAACGAATGATGTAAATAAAAATGGCAGTTACAGCAGAAATAGTGCTTCACTGTCTGTCCCACTTCTGCATATCTTGTACAAGTTAAAGCAGGTAGCACTAACACAGCTGTACAACTGAACTTATTATCCCAGGTCACGCCAATACAATGCTATGGAAACAGCACAGTGACTTTTAACTGTGGGAAAAATCAAGGTAATGAACCTGTGGGGTAGATCACTCATGTTCTCTCGATCTGATACATGTGTGTTTGTGGCATTATCACATGATCAATTCTCAATGAGTAAGAAATTGTATTACCATGGTATAAAAAACTCATAGGTGGACTTCACTTTCTCGTTCTCAGTGTCACCTGACCAAAACTCTTTCAAAATTGTTCAAGGACTTCGTATGGTTCTCCCAAAAAGTACCTCAAAGGGTGAAAACCTAAACTCTCTTTTTGATGCTTCTCTGTTTAACACCGTTCATAGATACTGACCCTAGTCTCTTGGTTTTTCTGAAAACATGGGCATGGTTTTAGGTCTACCATTAAATCGTTCTACAAGTACATTGCAGAGAGGGTGAAAAGGAGAGGTAAATAACTGCTTAAACGACAACATTCTACTTCTTTCATCACACTTTAGGTAAATTGTGAACTTCTCCATGAGAGCTTCTGCTACTATTCTGTCTACCAAAGTCAAGATATACCTGTACATAGACCAGTTTCCTTGTTCTGTGGTTCACTGAATATATGGGAACTTTGTGCAAGTGTACAGCAAGTCGTTTGAAGGGGGTGTCACTTCAAAAAAATTAATTAAAAATTAAAAAGCCCTATGGTGAGTGGGATGAAGACAATTAAATTCAACTACTACCCAGTAAACTTCATTCATTTCACCCTGCATTACTGACACACAAAATGTTTTAAAAGAAATTTCCTTACCAAGACGCAAATTATAGGTTTTTGTTTGGGGCACTAGAATTTTGTGGGGGGGGGGGAACATGCCCTCCAGTCAGTAACGCCGTTTAATTATTTCATATACTAACTAAAGACCATTTATGCACCATTCAATAATACCCTTGAACTGTGCATGCACAGAAGGCATGATTGCATTATTATGTGGCTATTCACATTCCATCTTTTAACAGAAGTAAAATTTCTGAATTCAAAAGTAAAACTTATCATTCTTGTACCAGTAGCTTAAACAAACTAAGTGTATGGACGTTACATAATGATAACACCAATCTGCAAGATCCATGAGAATGTCAGCTGAAGCATTCAATAATTTAGAAACATAATTTCATCTTCTGATTTTACAATCATAAAGAGAAAGTGAAATGGTGACCTGTACACAAAGATTTATCCAGGCAATGAACATGTATATAACAAATAATGAATGTTTCCCATTTGTGCAAGGAAAGAATAATTTCATGCAGGGACTAAATAAAGGTTGAACTATTCCAGTTTGGTTTTGCCTCATGGGATTGAACTGTCACTCTGTAAATTCATTACGGGTTTTGCCCTTACCCAGCATATACATACGTGTATGTATTCATAAACACTGTATACTCAAGGTTACTCTGGTGGGAATCAAACCCACAACTTCCTCCTTACTAGTGCAGATTAACCACTTGACACCGAGCTAGCCGGGGGTTAGCTGGCCGATTCAAGTCAGATGTACAGTACAGCAGCCGGTACCGCAAAGATGTACTTTGCATCAGGGAGATGTTAATTTTAATTACGGGTTTTGCCCTTACATCTGATTCGGACCGGCCAGCCAACCCTGGCTAGCTCAGTGATTGAATGATTAAGACGTCTGTGCTAGTATTAGTGAGCAGGAGGTCGTGGGTTTGAGTCCCACCCAAGCATGCTTGTGAATTTTTTTTGCACGCTCTTGGATAGGCACCGAGTATACTGAGTATACACTGAATATATATTGGGTTAGGGCAAAACTCGTTATTAAAATTGACATCTCCCCGATGCAAAGTACATCTTGACATACCATTACTCTTACCATTACACCCCCAAAACATGCAGTTTTGTAGTCTGTTTTAGAAAAGTCAATACATGTACTCCAAAAACAAAAATAAAACAATAGAATTACTGAACATTTTGTTTCACTTCATGAAAACAATGTAACCATGCATGCATGCATACACTGCAGAGCATTTTTTGCTGTATGAGAGGTTTTAATCACTTTTAAGCAGCGGTGTTGCACTTAGAATCCATTCAAGCTTAATTCTAAGTGAATATTCTCATACATGCACATAATAAAACGGCCATGCCAAGGACATCAATGATAAAAACAGCTTTGAATGTTACCTCGGACTTCTCCATGATAATGCCAAAACCTCATCCCATCAATTCTAACACTGAGTAAGACATCAATGCCACCAGCACAGCTTTCCAAGACATCAGATCTGCATTAGAATTATCTTGTTAACATAAATTAATAAAAAGTTGTTTCTGTTGCCTACATTTGTTAGTGCAACTTGCTAGAGTATATGTGTATGTATTAGTACATGTACCTGATAGACGACGACAAGCTCCAAGTACATGTAATAGTACTATGCTTTATTGCATATTCCCATGCCACAGAGCACATCACAATACATGCACCGCAATATTCCAAGAGTAAGTACATTGTTCCTTACATAAACTAAGCTGCACAATCCACTGCCAGTGAGCAAATTTGGTATTCCAACATCAACTCTGTTTAAGATAAATTTATCATCCCATTTATGCTAAATGGAAAACATGTAACCACATGCATACATAACGAAGCAAGGTGTTATGGCAAGCATCGAGTAATGAATCACAAATGTTTCTTGCTCTGTCACTAGTGGCATAGCTAAAGGGAGGGGACACAGGGAGAACGGGATCCGACTCAAGGCTTATATCCCCGGCTCAGAAATTAGAAAATGAAAAAATCTCTTGACAGTCGGCATTTTAACTGTAACCAAACCCATTGAATGCCCCCTCCAGAAAATGAGACCGCCAAGTGCCTGCAATATGTACCCCAGTTATGCCACTGTAGCGCTGCAGCCGAACCGCGGAAGCGAACCAGAAATCATTGAACACGGCACTTTCGAACTGAACCAAACCAAACTGGTTGGTTCGGATGTTCAGCTTTAATACTGCATGGCATTGATAGCACACAGAATCTACACGAGAAAACTAGATAAAAAAGCAAATGGAATGAAAAATGGAAAACGAGTTATGCCGCACCGGCACTCAGCATATGTACGTGTACATACGGACTGTAAATGTAAATGTACATGTACAGTAAATCTACGATGGCCACGCATCAGGCAATGGTTGTAAACAGCATGTGGTGAGAATTCACTAACAATCAACCGAGAACATGCAACATACAGCATTTTCGCTGCACAACAATTCTAAATTCTCACTACATCCAATTGTGCTTACATGTACATGTATGTATATTGAGATTTAGCATTATGTTTGCCATTATAGCCACACCCTTACATTCTGTATTAGGCCAATGATGTCATAGATGGCTGTGCAACACAAATTTTGATTGGATGTTGATCACAGTCTTACTCATGCTCGATCAAAGGCAACTCGAAGGGAAAACAGATTTTGCCAGGCGGGCTGGTGCAGCACTCCAGCACTCGAGAAGATTTGGTTCACATGGTGGCCTAAACTTGCCTTTTGTTTGATCAAGTTTGATCAAAGCTGTAGTGGAAATGCATTGTAATGGAATTTTCCATTCAAAAAAAGACTGATGGAAAATTGCACCTTTGGCCACGTGGGCACCATCCTGGGAAAGAATACCAAATTGATAGGGTTGTTCATCGAATACATTAAAGCAATAGTTTCGTAGTTGAATCTGTATTATGAAAAATAAACAAAACACAATTCGCTCGAAATCTAATTTCATCTTGTATCCTGCAAAGGAGGAAACTCCCATTTGAGCGTGCTGTTTTTCTGTTTTCACATATCCTACAATCATTTGTTGAATCAAGCGTGGTCCAAACACAACTGCTTTTGGTTGGCAAAACACGGTCGGAAACTGTTACACCTCCGATGGTAACTTTCTATGGAATGCTAACTCCTGCACAAAGTTTGGGGAAACAGTTTAGAAAAAATTAATGTTCAAATCGAAGTTGCTCATGGATGGGGATGGAGCGGAGATTCATTGCTTGAATTAACATATTTTATGCACGGAAGTATATGGCACCTTCATAACGAGCTCTTCAATGTCTTAATGTGCACTCTACATGTACATGTATATGTACGTACATGTACATGTGTGTACATGTCCGAACCTGAACCGAAATTCGGCAAAAAAATTCCGAACCGTGTCCGAACTGAACCCAAACCAAACCTTGGCACCTACTTGCAGGACTATGCCACTGTCTGTCACAGGAAATCAACCCTGGCCAGCATCCAATCACAAAAATCAAGAAAGCATCAACTTAATGGGGAACGTTTCTGCAGTGCAAATGTATATGTACCATAGTTCACCATAATCCTTTCAAATTGGAAACACTTAATCATGTCACCTTTTTCAAACAAACCATTTGTACAAGCAAATGTACAGTAAAAGCTTAATGAAATGTGTTCGTGGGGTCATAGTTTTTCAGTTAGCCAGAACACATGGAGAAGATGGACATCTTGTCATGATGGCCATAGCTGATAAGCCTTTAGCATATATTTACCTGAAGTTGGTCAGCTTTTGCATTACACTGGTTTTCCCTACCCCTCCTTGGCCAATCAGCACCAGTTTAGTCAAACGTACACTTCTGCTGCCCTTCGACAATTCTTCAATATACACTTGCTGTGCTTGTACTCCTTGCTCTATTATCTCTTTGGGCATGTAGGTACTGTTGTCTGCATATGAAGAATTACCAAGTTCACAGTGCAATAAATCACTCAAGCTGAAGTCATCATATCATTCATATCCCTACGCATCATATCCCTCTAACGCTGAGCAATGCATAAACAGATTGAAAAGAACTTACATGTGTCTGAAGAAAAAAATGATTCCATTTCACCTGCTGAGTTTAAAGATAGAGTCCATTATTTGCAGTTATCTAAAAAGTAAAGCCTGGTTTCAATATCGACATAAGAAATGCAGAGAGCAACGCAATCAAGATGCAAACTACAACGCAGACATACATGTATGGAAACATGTCAGATGGAAGTATCGCTGATAACGCAAATCAGCTGCAGATGGATCGGCAAAGTTGAGCCCGAGTCAACTTTACCGACTGTCTGTGTTGAGTTGCTGAGTAGGCCTATACAAACACACACGCATGACAGGCGTACAATGATGTTTGTCTTGCTTAGTACCAATAATTTTGTTTATTTTCTCCTTGTTACTAGCAAATGCAACCCCAACCATCAACAAAATAGCTGACCACTGACAAATTAAATCAAACTGGAGTATCAGTTTGGCTTCAAGAGGAAACATTGCCGCCTAAAAGAGGCATTTTGGGTGAAAATTTTCTGAGCTTCAGGCCCCATTTTGTTTAATATTTTGGGTGGAATGATGTCACGCTGCGTCTCTTCCACAACTGTCTGCATCTTGATGTCTTGCGGACCATCTGCGTTACAAACGACCATAAGAAAACCAGGCTTAACTGTCAAAACTATTGTTGAAAAGCATAAAGATGGTATGGAACTAAACTCCATGTGAAACTATTCTTTCTGGCAAGCTGTCATTTTGAAGAAAACAATGAAAGGTCATTTCCAACAATATATCTTAAGAAGTATTTTTGGAACATCACCATTGGAAGCAAGTGCAACTGTGCAAGAGTTCCTTTAACTTATTGGTTCAGTGCGTGACATCCCATAGCTGCATTCCACTGAATGTGAGAACATGTCTAAGATGCTAAATTCAGGCACAATTCAAAACACGGGTCAGTAACTTCTGATCTGATATTAAAATCCTAGAATACTACTTTTCTTGGAATATGCAGAACTCACTCAGCAGAATATTCATCAGGTTTGTTCTAAAGCACCCTTCTTTAGATTTTGAGTAAACTTGTTTCCTTAAGAACATAGTGGACAGATGATGGCCTGTGTCTTTTAAGTCTCAACTTGAGTTTTTTCTTCAGTCTACTGCCTTACAGTGTATAATAAAAAGCTACAATTATCATTCAAATTTGAAACATGAACACTACATTGGTATATTCGCAACATTCCAACAATGATGAACTATTGGTCTAGTGGTATGACGTATGGAGAAAATAAAGGAAATTAAGTGCCAACATCGCAATACTGGTACATGTACCTGTTCATTTACATGTAAGACTTGCAATTTCATACTGGGGCTCAGTTTCATGTTATAAATTAACTTTCATTACTTATCTTTCAGAATTAGAATGCTCATTACAAAAAATGGAAAAGTTTAAATCCCTATCTTACCATTTTTCATAACACAAGTGTAACAGCCTGATAGATCAACAGTGGCCCACACTGAATTCTTGAAATTAACTGCTCCTCGTGTGTCCACTAACTTTTCTGGCCATCCTCGCTGACTGATCCTAACAAGTCCCATCTCATCAAAGGTGTAATCAATGAAAATATTTTCATTAGCCTTCTCTAGGGATATGACCCATGTCTGGCTCTGGTAAGACACCTCTTGACTATAGATGGCTGGGAGTGACAGTGGGTTAACCTGGTCTGGATTTTGGTTGGTGAAGCCAACGCGAGGCATGCCTGCCCATCGGTTGTTTTTTTTCTTGAAGAACAAGGACACCACTGAACCAGCTTGGAGGTTGGTGTCACTGAAGACAATGCCATTGTCAAAAGTGTCAGGATTACGGATGGCAGTTGAAGCTGTACATCTGAGAGATATGTTACTCCCATGACAGGACGAGTGGAAGTACCACATCATCCTTCCTGCACGATGATAAAGAAGTAAAGAAACATTTCTAAATTCTAAATGTAACACTGATTTCCTTTGTTATTTCCTTCACACTCTGCTGACTGTGTAGCAGAGTTTAACAACAGTGTAGTACTAGTATGCAGCCTGCTGAATTAAGCCAGTAGAACAAAATTTATACACAACTGATTTCTAAAGTGCCCAAATTTTCCACTTTTGGATTGCTACAATTAGGCCAAGCTTGGTGAGAGCTAATAGGGTTTATGCACATGTAGATGACATCACACACTGGCCTGACAGCATAATGCTACAATGTTGGAGTGAAAACAAATGGTACAGACTGCCTATCACTGTACATTTTCACTGCATTTCTACCTCGTGCCTTCTATGTTCAGCACAGCACCTGGCCTGAAAAGTCTACTTCAAACACGTCCAACAGTTTTGAAAGATGGTTTTGAACTGTGTAGCAGTTGTATATGAGTACAAATTACAACCTTCGAGAGCCAAGGCCGAGTCCGGGGTCTCCTAGGCCAAGGCCAAGACCGAGTGACTACCATTCAAGGCCTAGGCCAAGGCAAGTTATTACACACATAACTACTTTTGGCACTGTTGGCTGGTGCACAAGATTTGTCTAGATCGACAAAAAACTGTTGTACATGACACAACAATATCCCCAATTATTTTGTCTTAGAAAAATAACCAAGTGTTGTGTTTCATTGATTAGTTACTTTCACTTTAACACTGTAAACAACCTGATAAACAAATCCAAATCGGCATAATTACCGGTAAATGTACCTCTTGTTTGGCAGGTGTTGCAAGGTTCAATTTTTATATAACTTTCAACATAGTAAGAGTACGGAGTCCCCCCAGAATCACAAAAAGAGAAAATATAAAAACTTGAATGCTCACAATACATAAAATTCCCCACAAAATAATTTCTCAATATTTTCAATTATAAAACAAGATCGCAAGATGGTAAGGCTTAAATGCACGCTTTTAATCCTAACACAAAATCAAGTAAGAATGTTGGAAGCTCACAGATAGTTGTACAATTGCAAAAGAAGTCCTGCAACCAAATCGTGAAAATCATTAAGTCAGATTGCAGCTACTAAAAATTCTGAAATTCTGGTGAAATGTGGTCAGTGGTTAGCCTTGTGTGTAGGAGACACAAATTATTGGGCTTACAGGACTGACGAAAGTGACGAGGACACTTTTCCTACGAGTGGATTAACCAGTTCCAGATCGCGACAAAAACTTCTCCACAAATAAAAAGTAACCATGCAAGAAATCAATTTTACAGCCAGAACCATTAAACAAGCTGATTTTCTACTGAAAAACTTCTTAATTTATAGAAATTTTCATTAGAATTCCAATCAATTAAAATATAGAATTTGCCTAAACTTTTTCACCTGTGCAGTGAGCCATCAACGATAACATCCCCCACGCCGCACAGTTGATGAACCCATTCATCACATACATTTCTGCCATGTCTGTGTAGTTGAGTTTGCAGTGTATTTGTGTGCAAATAATGCACGATCAGAAACTAGGAAATAATATGTATTCAGTTTTTGGCCAATTGTAAACAAATGGAATCTCTAAAAGTCATTTTGATTAAACAGACATAAGATGCAAAAGTTTATATGACTGCTGAGTATGAACAAAAGTATTTGGAATCACACGTAGCGAATGACTTGTATCTCCCTATAAATTTTTGTCAATTTTTTGGGCTCCTGTGATTTTTTACAAACCGTTCACAAATGTCAAAGTGCGAATCAAAATCTGGCCAAATTTCTTTTCTAGAAATTTTCTAAGAAAAAATTTTCTGCAAGAAGAAGCTTACATTTCACCTTCCAAGCAGAACTTGTCCAGGAATGTACATGTAGTTCAGACAAACAACACAAAACAGGTAGGTTTTTACTTCAAGCTATCCGGAAGTAAGAAAAAGATGGTGCTCGGAAAAAGATTTCAATGAACACATGCCTAATAAGGCCGTTTGTTTCACACAGATCTTTATCGTGATCAGTGATCTGTCATTGGTTTACGAACACCAAAATCCATCTAATGCATGGTGCGAACCAGCGTTAGGATCACTAATCGAGATCCAGATCCACGCACGGCCATGTCAAACAAACAGGCCCTAAGTGTGCATTCAATTAAATGGGTAGATTTCTACGCACGAGCTCATTATCCCTCACTCATGGAAGTCAGTCGCGAACGACTAAGATGTCAGAGGCGCCGTTGATGTGATCATAGGTGGGAACGTAGCCCCAAGTCGGATGCACAGATGCGACCACACTGTGGGCATGCAGCAGCTGTTGGATTAGGTCTCCTCTCTTTACGGGCTTGATGCTTCAGGTCTAGATCTTGCAGACGCCTCTCCTCAAATGCCTGTAATCCACTTTGGACAGCAAGTTGCCAGGCACTGTGGTCAGTGGCCAAAGTCTCCCACCTACATTATGTTGAGTAATACCACAGGATCTCAACGACGTCTTTAGACAATCTTTGTAGTTTTGAGTGGCTGTCCAATGCTCCTGCTGCCAGAGGCCAGCTCTGAGAAGAAGACCATCTTTGGTATGCGTGCGTCAAATGATGTGAAGCAAGGCTGTCTTGGTGTCCACACTCCTCAGCCTTATATTTGCTGCTATGCTGTCTACTGTGCTCTCCTCGAATGCAGGGATCACTGTTAGGTACAGGTATGATGGGAGTTTCTTTGATCTGAGACGTCTAAAGGCAAAAACTAAAGTTTGTGAAGCCTTAGTGAGAGACTTCGTGTTCACTGATGACTGTGCCCTTGCAGCACTGAGTGACCCAGACCTCCAAGATCTTGCTAGTTCTCTCTCAACAGCAGCTAAGACCTAAACAGGAGTGATGCTTCACCCTGCACCAGGTCTCATTAATACTTTGTGATCCATTGGGATTTTACAATAAGAGGTCAAATCATCAGGACAATATAAAGATATTTTCATAAATCACAAATTTGGGACTTCTGCCGTCCAACTCTGTTTATTTCGCTCACAAAAACCTCCAAACCCCTATTTTGCATAGAGGTGGGCAGCTACAATAGACATTGAGAGCCAAGTGCATAGTTTTACTCCTATTTTGGGGGTGTTTTTAGTGAAGGGCGAATACAAAAAATTCACATGACTAGCCCCTATGAAATGTAAAGAAAAGTGCACTTCTGGCCATTATCTTGAATTTCCAACTAGCAGAGACCAACCTCTCCTTAAGTGTCACTGTCTTATTTTGTACTGTCTTCAATGGGCGCATATTTAGTGTAATGTAACCTATAGAGACAAGATGGCGGTGCCCAAGTACAAACCAAAATGGGGCCCTCTGTCCTTTTTTTGGTGCTCTTTTAGGTATGAACAGAGAACATGAGCATGTTTTTCTTGGAAAGTTGCACAAACAGTGAAGATTACCGGAAACTATCAGAGGAATGTACACCGTACCTCTTTGGAGGGGGGTGAGGGTTTGCAGGTGATGTGCGTACAATGGCCTGTAAGCCTATTCCATTTATTAATAAAATGGGGGTGTTTACAAGGAACTGTTTTATTTAAAGCTACGATCTCCAGCGTCTCCATTATCCACATTATCAACTTGTACTATTTTCGATATGTACACTAGCCCTTTGTTTCATGGAGATTCTAGAAAAGGATTCCCATTTCAGCTTCTTGATAATGCTATGGATCCTGCATGCGAACACACTTAAAATGCACATGCTGCGCTGTAATCTTGTCAAATTAACACCCCCTAAATTCCACACATAACTACGATTTAATTTATGAAACTCCCACCATCGAAATTGATTTTTTTTTCCTGAAATGTATGTGTAAAGGCCTCGCCTTCAGACTGTAGTCCTTTAAAGGAAAACCTTCCCATCAACATGACCTTTTTTCCACACCATTATAAAAAGCAAGTGATGCGTCCCATTCAAATTTTGTCCATTGCTTTTGGGTATGCGTATAGTAACAAAGTTCTTCACATTCAATCAAAACTTACAGCCTGTGGAGATGTGACACGTACAACCGACCGTCACCACAGAAATTCAGGCAACAAAGTTGGCATGGCACAGTCAAAAAGGAATTGCAGGTAAAACAAAATATCTATCCCGAAGACAATTTTCATCTAGAAAATTACCGTCTCTGATACAAGTGAAATTCCCATATAAAAAATATTTTGGTTTAAACACTCGTACTTACAGTTGAAATTATCAATAAAAATATTGCCGGCTGTTTGTGGTTTCGAAGACTCATCGTGGTCCATCTTCGCACAGCTAAGAAACAAAGGACATAAACGCCATCACCGCACAATACTGAATGAGAAGAGTTTTAACTTGTCGCACAACACCCTTCCGTCCCTGCCACCACAGACATGTAAAAGCATAGACAGCCAGTCTTGCCTGTAAAACCGTGATTTTGAAAAGTATGGGCAAACAACAAGCAAAGCGACGGATGGCAGCCCGTTCAGTGCGAATTTGGCACAACGCACTTACATTGCCTGTATTTGTTTATCGATAGATGTGCTGTACTCCAAGTAACTTGGACCCTACAAATCACTTTTTTTTTAACATTTGGACATGGTCAGGCAATAGTAGGGTACAAGTACCTTCCATCTAGCTTTTGCTTCCATTAATTCATTTCACTCAAACTAGTTTGTACCCCAAATCAAAATCCTCCGAATTCACCTCCAAAATGGTCCTTAAACTGTCTAATGCACGATACCTGTCATTTTGTGAGAATCCCAGATGTCCATGCTGCCTCATAGGTCAGGATGGTTGGAAAAAGCTTATTTTTGCTAATAATGTAGGTTACCCTCTACAAAATACACATATGCTCGGTTGTCATGGTAGTTTCATACATGTACATGTAGGTTACCTATTATTATGGGCTTTTGGGGGGAAGATTTGATCAAGAAAGTGCAAATAGAGGTTTTCTCTGGTATGATTGCAGGGCACTTTTCAAACGCTGTTGCATACGGAACCATCAAACATCAGGAATCAGTAAGGCCTAAGGAGTAGTGCCAATTTAATCCATCCAAATGTTACGCAATCTCCATAGGCATTAGGGCACCCATTGGAACCACCTGTAATTTTAGCGGTGAAAAAATAAGTAGTGTAAACAGCCTAAAATACCTTAGGATTCACATTGCTAATAATTTGTCATGGAGGAAACACATATCTGAAACTTGCAAGAAAGCTCAGAGAGTATTAAATATCCTGAGGAGGAACCTTTGGAGCTGCACCCTAAAAGTCAAAGAAACAGCACACTTCACATTGGTTTGACCTATGCTGGAATATTCATCATCTGCCTTGGATCCCCACTTGGTGTCTGACATTCAGTGTCTCAAACAGATCCAAAGACAAGCTGCTAGACTTACGTGTATTTCCAACAACTATAGTAGAGCACCTGGCACCGTGACAAACATACTCAAGGAACTTGGTTGATCATTCCTTGAGATACACAGTATATGACGTCAAACCAACAGGTTATCCATGATGTTCAAGATAATCAGCAAGTTGGTCGATGTATCCTCACTCCAAATGTTAGAATCTCCAGGGGTCATACAAAAAACCAACTGCAAATCCGTTATCACACCAAGGTTGTTGACAATACCTTCTTCCCCAGAACAGTTAAAGACTGGAACTACATGCCACAATCTGTGGTCAATGCAACATCTGCGTCAGCTTTCAAGGAGGCAATCGGGCAATATTATCATTGATGAGTTGGTTTAAATTTGCGTCAATCTCCCAGCGCGAGGCACAAACCTAATACAGTTGGTGTGATGTGTCGTCTGGATGCTTTGTCAACTATACTTATACTTAGTCCGAGTAACTTGGATCCTACAAATAACCTTGTTAACATTTGGACAAGTCCAAATTGCCTTTTTAAACTTTTGGACAATGTCCAAATGTTAAAAAAGGCGATTTGTAGGGTCCAAGTTACACAGAATAATGATACAGATACATGTACACGCTAGCTGTTTAGGAAGTATGCCAGGCCTTCATGTATCTCTTCAACTGTTGCAACCGCATTGTTTTGAATCCCTACGGGCCTGATTAAGTAAACAGAATTTTTTTTTTTAATCAAAAAATATCTTCATAGAATTTTATGGCGGGAATTTTTCAACTGTGTATAAATTCCCTACACTGAGAGTAGCAAAGGTTGGACGCCAGTCTTCACAACATTACGACTGACATCCAGGGTCTAAGACTTGTTTACGAGACGACCAACAATTTGGCTTTAATTTGTTTTTGGTTTACCTTATTGAAGAAACTAATTCCACGTTTACATGTTCTTCATGACCTTATCTATCCATCTGGATTAAGAACGAACCATGGTCTGCGAAGTCGAGGAAAATACACTCGGAGACTATGTTACTGTTTTTCATGGTTGTAGTGATTTAATTCATCCATTCTCAAATTGCAAAGTGCACACATACAGGAATCCGAGATGCGTGCATGCACTATGCGTGCACGATTTCCATTAAAGGTCTATTACACGCTTGCTAAACAGAGGCTCACTGGTACCCAGCTTTAAACCCGCCTGTTGATATAAAAAACGCAGTTCCATTTTTGTCAGATCGGGGGCTTCAGACAGTCAGACTGACCAATAACCCCCCACTTTTTACCTATAAAATGTTCATATTTTGTTCTGCTTTGTATTTGGGTTTATAAACATAAATTTGGGAAACAATCTACTATTTATACGAATAAAATACCTTGTCAGCGTATTTGGCTTTTTAATATGCATCATGCAGGTTGCCTGTATGGCAAAAAGTTCATCAACGGACACTCTGTGAAGAATTTAATTTGTTCGTAGATTTTTGGGGGTTAAAGATGTATAAATACACAAACATGTAGAGATGTGATTTTCTTTAAATGAAACAGTAACTTATATCAATAAAATGAGGAACAAAAAAAGGATGACATTGCAGGTAAGGTGATCGTACGGTGATGAACAGGCAAGAGCGATGCTCTAGCACAGGAGCACAGTATGCAGAGGCGGGGCAGAGGGTGGTAAGTAGCGATCACATGCAAATTGTGCTGTTGATCAACCTTTTATTGTTTTATTCGTAACCCAAAATGTAATTAACAAGACTGAATTTGCAATTGACAGTGACAAGTTGAATTTTAGAGCAGCAGACGGATGGCCAGACTGTGTCGACTAAAAATCGCCATACGAGTAGGCCTAGAAAGAGATACATGTACTCCCTCTTTGAACTTGCTTGATGCATACTTTAAAAAAATTATGCTCAGCCTAATGCAGGTGCGGCCGACTTCACTTTGCCTCACATCAAGCAGCTGGAAACCTTTCATGTGAAGTATTTTGGAGACTTCAGTAATTATAAATGCCTTTCCATATTTATGTCAATGTTTTTGGGAGGTTAAAGTTTATGGTCATGCTGGAACTCCACCTGGTTATAAGGCGATGGATCCCATAACATGGTCTATTTCAAAAAGTTTACAAATCTGAAAGACTGAATATGTGATCATGATCGTCGTTAGTGACCCTCACATCACAAAAATCTTCTTTTTTTTTAATTGTGCCTGCATGTTTGCACAAAACGTTCTCTGGACCCTGAAAATATAGGCCTATTCAATATAACTTTCAAATGGAACAACTCAACAAATATGAGTAAATCACTAGCGACAAAAATTTACCAAAGCCTTACTGGATAATGCTGGGACCCCCTATGCTTTTATTGAATTTTATGCACAAGTCCGCCCATTGACACATACAAAATTGCTGCAACCATGGCAGCGCCGGGATATCTGTGCGAACGCAACATTTCAGCTTCCCCCTTGCATGCAGGTGCTTTTCCTGTATTTACCATGCTTGTACATGTAGGTTACCAACAAGCTTGCCCAAGATGTTTTGAATGCTCATCACATTGCGCGTGCCATGTGCGTGCGCGCACATCGGATTATGTTCGCACACTGTATGAACTAGAGAACGGCTGAGTGCAGTCTACAATAATAACAAGGATTAACATTAATTCCGAGCTAATTTTCCTGTTTTTGTCCTTTGTGGTGATGCATCAAATTTCTCACCCCACCAGCATGACCGGCTGTGGAGATAAGGACACATAGGATTTACAGGCGTGAAATTGGCATCTATACAAAAGGCAGGAGTGTTGATTCGCCCGGTTTTCGACCCTTCATATCACTTCCTCAATAAACGTACAGTAGGAGTACGGTGACGGAGTCCAAGTCTAGGGGCTACAGTACACCGAGCGCGAAGGGTGAATTTGCCCATAAAAATTTAGTCGGGCGCCGCGCAGATCACGAATGCTAGGTAGTTTTGAATGCGGTCTTGCAATGCGTTATGTCTATGCCCCCTTGCACATTAACAGTGCATTGCAGTACGTAGACCTAAAGTACTTCGCAGTGACATTTCGGCTTACCGGTACGTGGTAAACACGATCCAAGTTACAGCCTAGAGTAGACAACTTGTGCTATTTGGACAATGAAAAACCTCCAGGGACTGCTGAGAAATGTTTCACTGTCCTTCAGAAAAGGTTCTTTGCCAAGTGCTTTATTTGTCATGTCTGCGCGTCTCAAGTACTCCGCTGTCTTCCGCGGTCGTGTTGGATGGTGGATGCACGCCCTCTTTCGTCGATCTTCGTCATTTTCATCCTTAGGTTTGAGTAGAAACCCAACATTTTTCTTTGAATCAGTGTCGGTGACCGGTTCTCTTAACCGACGATGCAGATTCACAGATAATGCATCAGTCTTGAAGCCTGGAAATCTTTCAGATTATGTTTGTGAAAGCAGTGACAATGAAACAGCAGACGTTATTTACCAAAGCTTTAAGCTCTACGAAAACTTTGTGTCAAGGGCAGAAGAAAACTGCCTCTTGGAAGAAATCAACGATTATTTGGAAGACCTTGACTATGAATATGACCACTGGGATAATGTGAGTGTTGCTCTGTAAAGTGCAATCTTGACACTTGTGCAAATTTATTGTACTCCCTCCTGAGTTGATTATCCTTTGAATGGATTTTATCGAAAGGCAAATCAACTCAGGATGGAGAACAATAAATTTGTGCAAGTTTCAAGATTGGGCTGAAGTTAACTAGGCCTAGCTTTCACTCAAGGGATAGGCCTAGCCATACACTGTGGCCCTCAAAACAAAAAAAAAGAATGTATTGGTTTTCCCATGTTCAGATAAGATGTGAAACAATTTTTGAACTATATTTTGCCACCTTCTGGGCACTCATTTTTCTAAACAGTACACAGTAGAGGTGCACATCACAACTCGGGAACTGCCCCTGTATTCAGAGAAGTCCCTTTATTTGGGGACAAAACTAGTCTCCTGAAAGAGAGAATGTCTCGTTAAAAGGGGGCATTTTTTCCCAAGTGGGTACTTCAGGAACTGTAAGGTTTATACAAACCTGACAGCCATGTACAAACGCCCATAAACACATTTTGGCTGTTTTGATTGTGCCAACTTACCCTTCCTCACAGCTATTTGTACAACCAAAGTTCATACACTCCACCTTGGTAGAGTTAGATGTCAGATGGGGAGGTTTATTCACCTTATATCCTCATTAAAATGGTGAAACTCATGAGCGTTTTGCCCATCCACACTACAGAAAATCAGCAGCACGCACTCTTAATAACTGTCAGCTGTGTGATAGCTTGACCTATCGCAACACAGCTCCTGTCTTTACCTATTGTCTTCCTGACCCATCCAAATGAAAGCTGAGCTATGATTGGTCATTGGAATGGAAGCAAATTGGGCCAATCACAGTGTACTTTCATCTGTGACAGGAAAACAAAAGGCTCCTGCTTGTAATCTTAGAAGTAAACGGTAGAATTTTTAAACGACAGCCTTGGGTGTTTTCCTCTCCTGAATCCAATTAAGGCATCAAAATGATCCCCAATGCAATGGTGGGATCACCAAGCCCACTTGACAAAAATTGTCCACATTTAGAGGGACATTCTCTCTTTCCAGGGACAGATTTTGTCCTTGAACAAAGGGACTTCTCCACACCTCTACTGCGAAACAGCTAGCACTGAACAGTTACCAGATAACTGCTCAGTTCTCCATTCTGGAACAGGTGAGTGATGGGTGCAGGAGTTCAAAATTGTACATGTAGATTGAAGTACTGTAAGTACATGTCATGCCAGTCCAAACAAAACCCCGGTAAAACCCCTTGAAGCTCATGATGATATACATGTATATTTGTACATGCAGAAATATGTGTATGATAATATGTGAAAGAAGGAATTCCATGCTGGACTGTCACAATTGTCGATACGGGCGATTCACAACAGTGCACCTCCAAGAATTTGCAACCCATTGGCCAATCACAATGTGTGAAAATCGGTTGATCCTTTCCAAATAGGCGTTTGGTCGACAGATTTCTTGCATTATGATAGGCCAATGCATTGCAAACTCATGGAGGCACACAGACAAATTGTACTTTTTTATATTAAGGCTAATGAAAGTAGATTTATTGTGCCCGCATGTGATTTTGGTCCCACTTCAACAAATTTATTATAATTCATTATTTTTGAAAAAAAATGGTGAAACTGGACAAAAATCCCACTCCCAACTTTGAAAATCACGTTGCGGCAATCTCACTCATCAGAACATTAAAAAATATGGAGCCTGAATGCCAGTGGGTACCTTTTTAGCCTAGCAGGGCACCCAATAGTCATTAAAAGTCAAAACATGCCCCAACGGGCACCAAAAATACAAGCAATGTGTGAACCTTGTACTGTATGTCCAAATCCCCGTTCTTGCACCACGACTTGACCTCAGCAGAATCAGCAACCACACAGGCTGCAATCCAACATTCAAACAGCATCAGACCAGCACACAATCAAGAGTGACGGAGCCACGGTTATAGGCATGTGAAAAAGTTAGGCCTATTATTTTTCCATTACAGAAAATAATAGTGAAAAAAAAATAATCTAAATTATTTTTTAAAAATGACAAGAAACAATAAATCAAATTTCATTAGCCTAAGGGCGCCGCATACAGTACCAGTTATGCCAGTACCGTACATTACAGACGTATCATACCCTCTCCCCATCTTATTTACTTGCACCGCCTCTTGCAAGATTCTCAAGATCTTGCGAAGTTCAGTGGAAGGATCATTTAACACACTACCCACAGAACTCATCCGCCGCACTCTCACATGGGCACGATTGAAGCACGGTGAACCACGTAGTTAGATCTGGGGGGCTATTGACACACCACCTCATAGGGGTGTGCATTTCCAGGTATTTTTGGAACCGGGTACCCGTTTTTTGCCAACATTGGGTAACCGGAAAAGAGATCACATAAAAACAAATGGCATTGCACGCGACCCCCGGTGGACCTTTTGCCCAAAACAGGGCTCTTTTTCGTACATAAGAAGCAAGCAATACGTTACTCTAAACGTCAGAGTTAATCTCTCCTGCCTTTTTTACCTGTGGGTGTATGAAACATAAAAACAAAATTTTAACGAGGAACATCCGAACAGACAACAGAGCTGCAAACCACCTACGCACCAGCTACTGCTCCAAGGAAATGTCCCGGGTGCTGCATGACCACGTACTCGTGGAATGCGCGTGCACAACTGGTGAACGCTGGTCGTGTCACGTGCCGACCAGATCAGTGCTACGTAGGTCTAAGTCACAGGGTTTTCACTTAGCTTCACTTTATTTCTACATATTGGGTGGAGAGGAGTCCCCAAAAAGCAGTGCTTGTCGAGTAAGGACCCCCACTTACATAACAACACATACAAATAGACATTACATTAGCGTACATATACATACAACATAAAAACAATAATTTGAAATAAACGAGATAAATACGGCCTGTAGCGCCTGTACGTCACGGATTAAAAGGCTTTTATGTGCGAAAATACCTCCGTAACCAGAACAATGCCCATACCACTACATGTATAGGCCTATCCACTTTGAAGTGAAGTGTATTTTGAAATGTCTGAAGCTACTGAAGCTAACCTGATTGTTAGCGCGGGCCCAATTTTAGTCCCCTTCAGGCAGTCCAATCGCTGACACTGCAGTGGCCATGTGACCGCAAAAGGAAAGGTCATGTGACCACACATAGGGAAGCCCAAGTGGAAAAAATAGGACTGTATTCAGCGCCTCCCATTGTAAACAAGACTAAGTGATACGAAAGTTTTGCCACACGAAAGTACCACGATAAAGTGGTTTATTTTAATATTGATTTTCTTTAGGGTAACTCCATTTCCCCCGAGGTTCAAGTTGTCGAGATTTTAATGTATAAGTACTTCGACAAGTGACATTTGACTGGCTGACTGAATTATGACCTGTCAACATTTATCTTTTTTCGAATGAAAGAAACTTAGATTTGAAATGCTTTTGTGCATACAGAAAACATCCTTCCTGCTTTTTTGTTCAATTCCTCATCCTCAGTTCCACTGAATCTCTTTGGAACTTCATGTTACTTTAATTTAAAAGTAATTTTGAAAATGAAGTTTGAATAACTACGGCATATTTCTTGGTATCAAAACTGAACTGGTTCTCTGACCATTATTAGGTTTATGGAGCACATTCAGTGCTTTGGTTATCAGCTGATAATAAGAGGCCGATCAACTGCACGGTTTGTGCGTGATCACTAATTACCGCACGTGTGGAGTCTCAGTACCGCTGGTATATTACACAGCCCGCTCTTGCTTCGTCGTCAATCCCGACATAAAGTAATATTCATTCATATTGGTTTGTTTGTTTATTTTGGGTTTTTTGTTTTGACAGAATACTCTTAACTCAAACAGTAAACACTACCACTTCCGCACAAAAGTCATTTAGGCCGACAGGGTTTGAAAGTTACAAATACAGTCATGCAAGTGTACATCAACAGCGCTTCCACCTTAGTAGACAAAATTCCTTCAGTCTCTTGTTCATATTGGTTTGGTACAGTCATTTTCCTAGTTCCGGATCGCGAAATTATTCAGTAAAATTGCAGCTACAAAATTGTTAAATTCGAGTGAAATATGGTCAGAAGTCAACTTTGTGTTTTGGAGGTACCTCATCTTTTTTTTTCTCCAAAATCTAAACTTTTATAATTTGACTCACAGGATCGACGAAAGTGACAACGACATCTTTCTTAGTTCTGGATTGGTTTCGGATCCAGACAAAAACGAATAAAAGTAACCATGCGAAACATCCATTTTCAGCTAGAACCATCGTAAATAGTCGCTATTCTAATAAAGAATACCTTAATTTTGAAAAAAAAAATCAAAAATAAGAATTCCATTGAATAAAAAGGTAGAAATTGCGTAAAGTTTTGACTCGACTTTTCAACTATATAGCAAGCTATCACTGGTACCCTCCCCCGCTACACAGTTGACGCATCCATTACGCCATGTACATTTCTGCTGCACCCGTGTACGTGTAGTTGAGTTTGCAACGAATTTGCGTAGTAACGCCGCACAATCCGAAAGTAGGGGGGAACTTTCAGTTTTTGGTCATTATTTAAAACAAAATTCTAAAAGTCATTTTGATCAAGTATAAATTAGATGTAAAGTTAATATGAATGTCAATCAAAATTACATATTTGTCTCTGATGGGAAATTTTTGTTTATGACACTGAACACGGGTCAGAAGGCCACGAATATCCATCACTACACCACCAAATTTGATTTTCCATTTGTTTTAATTCTCTGTCATGTGAGTACTGAATCCTTTCCCTCACTAAAAATTACTTAAAGTCCCTTTTTTAAAAATATGTTTGTCTAATTGTGAACGACTCCAAAAAACTGTGATGATCCCATATGGAATTCTTTCCAAAAATTGAGTACAGCAGTTGTCAGGTTGTCCCACTCAAAAAACATGGATTTATTATATCCAGACTATAGAGCATCTGTCCCATTGGGACTCCCAACAATGGTACCGTAGTGGGGGTGGTTTCAACTGTGTACACTTACATTCATGTACTCGTGTGTATCCACGTATGAAGCTTCAGTTGGGCGGCGCTATACCATCTTTGGTCATTATACATTCAGGTCAGCAACACGTGCATGACATGCCAGGTCAACATAGTTTTGACAAATTCTGTCACGTATGAGTTTGCAAAAACCCAGGGAAGTTTGAGGAATTTTCTGCAGAAATTTGCTGACCATACCTGTAGTTGCACCACCCCAATTGGTTTACAGTCACTTGTCCCATTTTTAACTTTGCCCACAACCGCTTCTGCAAGTTCGTTCATTAATACTCTGCCCATTTACCACTTTGCCCAATTGTCACTTCGCCCATGCGCCACCTGGCCCATTTGCCATTTCGCCCACTTGCCACTTACCCTACACCTTTTGTCAATATTAACTAGATGACACGGAGGAAAAACAGATAAACAATTCCCTAGCCCCTCCTGAATCTATCCAGAATGCCAGCAAAGATTAAATATCAAATAAGGATACTATTTTCAGATTTAAAGCCAGTGCCAAGCTTAAAGTGGGTGTGGCTCACATAGCGAGAACAGCATGGAACAGCTGGAAGCTAGCAACTCATGGAACATGAAGTGCATTTTGAATGTTGACAATCTGAAACTGACATGAAATGATTAAAAACTTTGGAGATATTTCAGTGAATTACATGTACAGACTGTAGTTCACAGAATTAGACTTGTCTTAATGTGTCAAGATATTTTGCATTTTTTTATGAAACCTCACTGCACGCTGTTGTACCACTGCGAAACAATCCCACGTCCAGACTTCCGAGCGTTGTTGCAGAAACCATCTTATGTTTACATGCATATGTAGGTCTTGATATTTGAGCACTGTATCCCCAAATTGCAATAAACTGGTACACGTACATGTGTGTACATGGCTGAAGCGTCACACAGACAAAGCGGTAAATGGGCCGTGTGGCAAATGGACAACGTAGTTTTGGGTGATTTGGAGAATAGACTAAATGACTAATATTCCCCCTCCCCCATTGCAGCACCGTATACCAGTAGTTAGGACTACCCAACAGGACAGATATTGTATTTGGGGAACAACATAGATAATTATTCAACTGTCCTGCTACGGTTACATACATGTAAGTTGAACCTTCTGTTTAGGAGAGTTCACCATATGTACGCCTTGTTTCAGTCGGACGTGTTCTTCAGTGTTCAAAATTACAGTACCCATAAGTTATATTGTTTCTAAAACTCCCTTTTCTCCTGTCTGAACAAATTTCTCCTTGATTGTGTAATATAACAAGTCTGTTGCAAAAGGTGAGAAGATGCCTTTAGTTTATTCACCCTTTCTAGTTCTTATCAAAAAGTGAAAAACACTTCTTGTTTGTGGGGTTGGTGGTGTTGATGTTAAGCAAAGTACATGTAGTTTCACAACATGCAAGTATCTTTCTTATTCCCTGTTTTTGGTAGCAAATTCATGGTTACAGAGAAACTGAGAAATCACGATGGTCAACAAAGAGCCAGTTAATCCTGCAGCGGATCAGAGAAACTGCCTTTCCCAGTGGAGAGCAACAGTTACCATTGGTACATGTACTAGATCTGGCTAAAGATGGATACATCAAGCCACATGTAGATAGTGTGAAGGTAATTTGTGATATTTTTGTCGATAGAAGTTTTCATGCTAATAATTACATTACTGGGATTAAAGCAATTTGATTGAAGTTTTGATGCTACTGGTTGAAGTTGTTTTAATAATGATAACATTACTTGGAAAAATAGTTAGACTCGGTTAGACTTTTTACTACCTTTACCATTTGCATTCTTTCTCATAAATTACAATTTTACACACACAAATCTGGATTAAGGAAACAAATACATGCTTGGCCGGTCGTTCCCCTAGGACCTGCTCAAGAGTTTATAATATGCATGAGAAGCAGGCATTGTAGTGGGATCCATTCAGTCGCCATTGACTGTTTGAACAATCAAAACTGTTTAAACAATCCCAAATTTCCAACAATTTGTTCACCAATTTTACTTCAGTTTTACCAAGCACCCCTCTAGCAGTAATAATGATAATTGCGCTTAGCCCTCTGGCCAATGTTATGGTACATGCATGTACCTCCGCAAGCCATTGTTTTATCAACTGTTTAAGACTGGCCACAAGATGGTTTCTTGACAACTAGTAGCAATGGCTAAACTGTCTTGGGCATTTATCAATGAAGGTTTGATGAAAATCTGAGTAAAAAGTCAGTGGATTCTTTCAGTGTGTAACTAGAAAAAAGTTTGGAGTTGATTTCCACAGTCACATAGATGTAAAAGGTGTAGCTCTGCTTAACTGGTCTCTGTTTGTGTGTCTCCTTGTTTGTCTTTGACTGCGGCATTTTTTTGTGTGTGTAATTCTCCAGTTCTGTGGCTCCACCATTACTGGTTTGAGTTTGCTCTCTGCAGCCATCATGAAGCTGGCCAAAGAGGATAACCCAGAAAACTGGGTCAATGTTATCCTAAAGCCTCGATCCCTCTATGTAATTAAGTAAGTAACAGGTTTTGGTTTTGGGCAGCAAGTGCTCTGGATTGAAGAGTTTCGTTGATTTTAATACTTCTGCAACTCCATACCATTTACGGATTAATTTGTGAGTCCCTTCAACACAGTCTTTTTTGTTCGGTTGCTGTGGCATATCCGGAGGTCCTCCCCTCCCACCATAACAGCACTATTCAGTATCTTGCTTTTTGTTGAGTAAATGACAGAGCAAGTAACTTTCTAAAAAATAACCTTCCTTTTATCCATGCTTACAGAACTGGATAAATACACTTCTTTTCCTGACAAATATTCTTCAGCTTTTTTACCTCCCCAGGCAAAAAAAATGAACATGCTTCTGTGCCTTTGTTTCATTAAAGTGGTACGGACTGTGGATTATGGCTTTAAAGAAAGAAGACATTTCTACAGTGTGAGCGGGAGGAGAATTTTGTATTCTGTACCATTCATTTTTGCTAAGGCTTATTTTATAATTACAGATTTGCCGTCTCAGGGAACTTCCAGTCGGCATTGTTCATTTAATGTGACGAGTATTATTTTATGGTAGATTACTAGACACGCAAAAGAAATGTCTTATTAGTCCACTTTTCCTGGGGTTTTTTTCCACTCCCATTAAACATTATTGAAATTAGATCAATAATAAAGAACTAGATCAATTTTCACTATCATTCTTCTTTCTCATTAACAATTAACAGGGACAAGGCTCGCTATCAGTTCACCCATGAAATTCTGAAAGACAGCGAATCACTGTTCAGAGGTGAGAGGGTGGCACGAAGGCGCCGAATTTCCATTGTGTGCCGGAACGAACCTTGTTGATAAGTGTTACAAACAAATTTGACCCTTGTATGCATGACATGATTCTCATCCCAAATCTAGGACGTTATGGGTAAAATGAACAATATTCACAGCATATGTAAAGGTACATGTACAGTCCATCATTTGTCATTTGTACATTATATTCCTTTGTAGTAACAAATGTGTTCAAAATGTAAAGAAAGGAGCCTAACTATTAACCTGATATTTCAACTCTGTAAAGTCTGTACACTGCGTGACAAAAATATTCTAGGATCTTGATTTCAAATAAGGTGCAGAGTCATGCTTTGAAATTCACCCAACTTCAGCATGGGACACGTTCTCATTCAACCAAATGCAGCCATGTGATATCGTACACTGAACTAAAGAATTATAGTAACCGCATCCATGTGTGTGTCATGTCAACGATTCACCAAATTAAAAACTACTGACGACAGATTCTAAAAATGCGTCTTTAGATGTATCGTCGGAAAAAGCCTTGTTTTATTGTTTTCTTTGAAAATAGAGTTTCCAGAAATCTAGAGTAATTTTACAGGGAGTTAAGGAGGCCTACCATAACAATCTTTAAACCGAGTATGCTTTTCAACAATATTTTTGTCAGTTCCTTTTTGATAACTGCAATTGAAAATGACGACTGTATTTTTAATGATTGGTTATGCAGTTATTCACTCAGTGTAGAGTGAAGCAATGTGCTGTTCAGGTGTGTTTATCAGGGACTCATTTTGTACACATTTAAGCCTCGTTCAAATGGTGACAATGCTTCACAATACCTTGAGCCAAGAATGTGGGAATACCCAACATTGTATGAAGGAATAAAAATGTTTGTGTAGGTCACAGCTCATTAATGAGAGGTCCTTTGGACTTTGCAGGTTATCTTGTCATAACAGGGACCTTGTATTATAGAATAAATGATTGGAATCTAAAAAAAATTCTTTCTTATAAGCAGAATTTTGTATTAACAGTACTCTTATGTGGTAAAGTTTCCTTTCTCACTGCTTCTCACCATCTGCGCCCTTCCTCTATGGTTATAGCTGTGTGAAGATGGACCATGACGAGTCTTGGAAACCGCAAACGGCCGGCAATACGTGTATTTTTATTGATAATTTTATGTGTGACTCCGTACGAAAGCCCAATCGTGCCAATGAAGTATAAATTGTCAGCCTGACACTAATCTGTTTAGCGAATTACTAATCCGAAATAACGAATTACTATTTCAACGATGGATTTGCGCCGGGGAGATGTAAATTAATTTTAGATTTTTGCCCTGCTCAATGTGTATTTTAACACTGTATGCCCCCGGAAGCTAGTGAAAAACCACAAGCGTACTCGGGTGGGCCGCGACCTCCTGCTTACTAGTGTGGACACTCGACCACCGAGCTTGCTGGTGTCGGCTGGTTGGTTCGAATTTAGATGTATCAGCGGGTAGCGAGTATACAGTGTTAAAATACCCGTCAGGCAGGGCAAAAATCTAAAATTAATGTACATATTCCCGGCAAAGATCCATCCTAGAAATAGTTATAAACGCACAGACCGCCAGCAATGTATTAACACATGAAGTCTTCAAGGAAATCCCTTATATGGGTCACCAACGCTATGCGTCGTCTGTTCGAATGATTTTTCAGGCCGACTATATTTGACTATTGCGCATCCGCAAATACGCAACTAAATGCACAGGATCGGGCCGAACATACGTGACGTCATGCATACGTAAATCTTAGGCCGTGTCCGAAACGGAGCTACGGCTTGGTCTATTGTCTACGCGTCTCCATGCATTTCCAATGGCGCGGAGACGTAGACCTAGCTATAAACAAGAGGTTCGGATGCAGCCTAAATTAGTCGCGCGTAAACACACTGACTGAAGTCCAGATTTAGTTGTCCCAAATTGAGGGATTTTTAAATTCTACGATACCAGAGATCAGATCGCATAAGATATGGTTGGACCCAACGTGGCGTGGCCAGATCGCACCCATGGAATCGAGGTTGGTTTTGACCCAACTTGAACTTCCCATGTTTCTGCGCGAACAGCCTGGGCCCGTACGCGTAATTTCTTTTCTAAAGGTTGGGGGTAATTATAATAAAATGAGCGCATATCTTAACCGTTGCGCATGCGTTTTTCGTGTAGGAGAGTTGGGGTAATTATAATCAATGCGGTACACAAACTTCGACACAACAAAACCAATATTAGACACAACATAATTGCTTTTTGGCCGACTTGCATGGTAGCTCTGTCAGAAGAGTGTTATACTTAGAACCAGAGATTTATCGTATAGCGCCGAAGGCGCAAGATGGATAACCCTGCCCAAAAGGTGTAGTTGCCGTGGGCGCCATTTGAGCAAGCGATACGCCTGCGCGGTTTACGGTAATGCTTCGGAGCAGGCTCACCTGGTGCACGTACCTGCCGCGGCGCCTGCGGATATGCAGTAATGTGCATTGCGTAGGCGTATCGCTTGCTCAAATGGCGCCTATGCGATTACAAATACGCCTGCTCAAATGGTGCCTATGCGATTACAACAATTTACGTGCATTCGCGGTGGTGCATCTTGCGCCGCTATGCGGCGCTATACGATCTTTGCTTAGAACCAACAAGGGTCGAGTCTGTACGTAGGCCTAGTGTTTTTCCCCCTTGGTGGGGGATTAGTTGGTTGGAGGATGTTTTATAATAGGAAAGTAAAGCCCGACATTTACCATGGCACTTAAGTTTCTAAGTGTCCACTAGATGTCGAGCTTACAGTTAACCACGCACATATATGATAATTGCCCCTAAGCTTCCTTGGAAAAAATTACGCGACCCGTTCGTGAGAGATAAGGCGTTGTTCACGTAAAACGTAGTCAAACCTCTCACGTTATTATTGCGTCAGCAGGTTTATTTTACGGTGAAAAATGTTACTTTGAAGTACATGTAAGTTTTGAATAGCTCGGTGGCCACTGATAAAAGACAACATAATTGAACGACGGCATGATCTGTTTGGATTCTACTGAGCTGGCCTGGCACCACCGCATTGCTCTACAAATAGGGCTTAGCCCTTCGATGGAGCACAGATCTGCAAGGAAGGCAATTTATTGGGTCTGTTGTTTCACACGGATTTGGATCACGGTCAGTGATCCCGCAGCTGGTTCGCACTATCCACTTTGCAGATTCTGGAGTCAGTGAACCAGCGCTGGATCACTGATCTCGAGGTAGTCTTGGTTTCAAGACGTTAGTGCTTGATAGCGGACACCGTGCATAGTACACCCCAACGACTCATAATTAGACTGTGTGTCAGCTCGCACTAAGTCAGAGTAAGTAAAAACTGGTTGTGCGAGGGCGTTCTTCAACAGAAATAAAACAACTATCGATCGCTGACGTCTTGGGCCAAGACTAGTCTTCGGGTGGATCTGCGTCAAATAAACAGGACCAATGATTCTCGTTTTCCTTTTCGTGTGGATGATTGGCTAGCCATGTCAGTCGCACTGTCAGACTTGTATCCAGCACAATTGACAGACATGGGGCCATTTTCCCAGTCTTCAATGACGCTGAATCCTTTTGCCTAAGAAATCCTTGATTTTGACAAGTCAAACTAATTTCAATTTCACCCGTAAGGTTTCAAATTCTCGCTCCTTCTCGATAAAGCCACTGATAAGTAAATATTTCCACACACAAAACCCTTTCGTCAAATAATTGACGATTTCTGACGTATTTTAACCATTGTGTACTACTTTCTCGTGCGCACATTTTTCTAAACTGACTGTCCTATAGTGAACATTGATCTCCGTTATAAAGATTGGACGATACATGGCATTCAGAAGTGTTATTGTGAGCACAAAACGAGCGCAGCTATGACTGAGCAGCCGAACTATATAGGTTACTTCCGTTTTTACTACAGACACTTGTAAGTCGGATTTATTGAGTTCACAACTTTACCAAGGATTCACATTTAACAACTACTTTCTGGAATGAAACAAGTCAGTAATAATTTTATAATTTAGACAAAGTTTCTTTCATTACGATGCCTTTGAATTTCCGTGTTACTTCATTCAACAGAAAGGTCAGCTCTCTGCCTCTCGTTTTGGTTTCATCTCTGCTCTGAAGAAAAATTCCGTCACACAATGTGTCTGCACATCCGACAAGCACAAATCATGGCTTTGTTGGAGATTTTTTTGCCAATAAGTATTCCAGACAGTCCCAACTTCGATATGGCGAAGTCTCATATATAAAGCCTGGTAGGCTAATAGACTGTCAGGTTTCTTTCTATATAGGCCTAGGCCTGGGGTAAAGCATTATGAAGTACAAGAAACTATCTGAAACTAAAAAGCGCGACTCGCATATCAAAAGCTGCTCCTTTTCCAAAACTTGATTTACAGTCGATCTCCAGCAATTCTCTGCTGCGCACACCTCAACCATTCTTTCCAAATGTATCCATTCCAAGTGCAGAATTCAGTTTTTCTTCGAAATCTGACGATTGAAGTACAATAACCTCTACCAGTTTTTGAAATCTCCGTTTGAAAGTGCATGCAACAAAATTCGCCACGCTTGCTATTTATTACCCTCTTGAAAACACGCATACTCGGGACTCGTTTTGGACGCAATGTCCTATTCAGTCTTTTCAATGAAGATCAATGCAATGAACTTGACAGTCGCTTCGTATCCATAAAACTTCACTCGTCCAAGATCAAGCGTCAACACCGATCTCAACTAAGCTACATGTACCCTGCCCTGTGCCTACGCTGCTATGGCCACCCTCAGTTTTTGTCGCTGCCAGTTTATGTGACCAATGCGAAGTGTGGTTGCAGCTCATTTTCTGACTCTGCCCTAATGCTTTATTCATCGCCAGAATAAAAAAAAATACACCCAGATGATAAAGTATTTGGATCCTTCACTTTCAAAATCGATATGACATGCTATTACGCCTTATCTTACATTTTGCATCTGTATTTGTGGTTGTACCGCACAGTAAACAGTTATCTTGTATTCTACCATTTCTGGTGCAGTTGTGGTAAGACAAAAATAAGCTCACAATATTCCTTTAATTTCTCTAGCCATTCTGGTTCAATCCACCGTGGGAGTTGGGCTCACCATCATAGGACTTTCCAAGACGTGACCAGATTCCGTATCAGTTTAGCAAATGCCAGAGATCAGTGCGAATATACATGTACTACGGCTTTGATGAATCATGGATGCGGTAACATCGGACATTGTTGGCCATCACCTGCGCTGCATAATGGATATGACAAAATAAAAACTCACGGTTACAGTCAAGGCGGGGGGGCGATCAGTAGCCTCAAGTACTTGTAAATACCACTGCTCCCAGATACTCGCCCATCCAGCACGATACACACAATTTTCTCATGACCTGATATGATTTGCTTTTCTTTGATAAGACTTGAGAAATTAGACCGAAATAGGCCCAACGGTTGGTTGTTGCTACCCAGGTACGTATGCTGTGCGTATGACGGTAAAGCCAGTGATTTTCGGCAGAGCAATAATGGAGGTAAATCCCGGGCTGAAGATGGGGGCATTTGTCTTCGTCACTTCTTAACTGGGGGATTACCAATGTAATTACCCTCTCTCCTTTCCAACTCACTGACTATGCGCACCTTTAGCCAGTACCCTCCAAATTGGCACTTGCCGGCGTCAAGATCTCACCTGGGACGGAGGCCGTGCTGAGTGTTCAGAAATGCTTCAAGAACTCTCGGCCAATGGTTGGGACAGCACTGGATTTTAATCCTAAAAGAGCCCTGTGGTTATTTAAGCCCCTCTCACAGCCGGGTGGGGCCAGATTCCTCTCTCCGCCAAGAACTCGGCTGTGCCGCGCTCGATTTTGTTGAAACTTGGCAGACATGTAAACACATTCCTTATAAACATTAAAGGAACCAGGAAATAGAAATATTTTTTATAAATTTTACTAACAAAACCCTAGAAATTGCATCTTTGGGATTCAAT